GCCGCAGTGCCTCGCAATTGTCGCAGCTTGCTGAAGCAAACATTTACCTCATCTGCAGTTTAGCCTTTACGATAAAGAGAACCCCTCAAATCACTGATATGGCGTTTTTTCTGAGTACACATCAAAATAAAACTATGCTTAAGTGGTGGACATCAAATAACTGATTGGCGGCCGTTTCGTTTCCTTGGACACAACACTGTTGTTGTTGTTGTTGTTGTTATTGTTATTGCTAATGTAGATCTGGTGAAGCCTTCCGAGATCCAAATCCAGCGGATCCAGATAGTCGCATCTGGACTCATCTGAAGGCGGATCGCGATCCACAAAATGCTCGCTTCGTCGTTTCGAACGACTTGAAAATGTATAACGTTGCCTTTCTGCAACAGATTTATATTTTTGCTAAACTAACTTTGAACATACATGTGCTAGTCAGTGGGCTACTGAAGAGGTGACGAACGTACAATGAACAGGCGCTTAGTACTAACTAGAGGTATTCGGCTAGTTGCGCCCAACGTATGATTTATCCTGAATAAAATCACTAGCAAACTTTAAAAACTGCTTAATTTCATTATTTACATTAGCAATTTAGTACCATTCTAAATTTTCCAGTACTTATCCACATTGATGGATCTGAAATTCTTGGTGTTTTCTTTGCAAATGCTCTTGAAAAATCATAAACGACCGGCTGCTAGTGCAGTATTTATTGGTGGTAGTTATCGTCAAAGAGGGCCTCACAAAGAGTAAGCTATAGTACCACACGCAACCGGCGGAACAATACAATACATCTGAACTCTTTGTTCGAGGAACGAAGGAAGGAAGCATGGAGAACGAAGGTCAAGAACACTGAGAGTGGAGTTTGTCAGCCAGGTGATACAGCTCCGATTACAGAAAATATGAAAATATCTTAGCTGCTTTGCTCGTGATGGGATCACACTACGCTAAAATGACAGCTGACTGTAATATCTTTCAGTCAAAAACAGAAGTCCAAACCCCTTCCTATTCATTCCCTTTGAAAAGCGGAGGCACGCGGAGGTATTTTGAGGACAGTAAGCGCCAAAAGCGACCACTCGGTGGTTTGGACTCTGTCAGTGTACTGGTTTAAGTGGATCTCGAGCTACGCACTGTCAATCGCAGCAGGTCCAAAAAGCATTTTTCTCTAGTGTGCATTTTGTTGCCGAATTTCTGTCTCATTTTCTCACATCTTTTTTTTTCTCCATGAAGCAGTTTCAGTAAAGGAGTAAAAGAAAGGTACTAAGGGCCCTGTTTTGCTATATTTTGCTCAACAGATGCTTGCAGAGAACTGCTGATTGTATCACTCTTGAAAGGTTTTTGAGAGACCTAACCAGGCTTTCCATTCGATTTCGTGCTGGACGACCGATATCGTTCAGGCTCCCTGATACTATTACTGCTGTTCTGTACGGGATATTCAGGCATCACAATCACCGATGGACTTGCTATTCTGTCATACGGCGTATCATATTCTGCTGCAACAATCAGACTGAGTAAAAAACGACCAAAAATTGTCTTAATTTCACTCTCTCCCAGTCTGCCCCGGCCTCGCCCGTAGTCCAATTTCAGGTGATAGATGGGTTATACAAGCGCATCCAAGGAACAGCAGATAACTGTTTTTAAAACTTCGTCTTCCTTTGTAGGAAATAGTCCCTGAAGAAGCATTTAGCAAGGCCTTAGCCTTTTCGACATTTCGTCATCACCACCTCGTCTCGAAACCTGCTAGTCCTGGGCAGCGATTCAGGGTATTTTGTTCATCAAGAGGTGTAGTTGTTTATTGACACAAGATAACTATTTTGTTCCTTTAAAAAAAAGACATAAAGGAGGCATTGGCAACGAAGCGAATGTTTTTTTTTTTGGAGAAACGATGAAAGTTTTCAGTGCCGCACTGGCAAAATTTAAGGATTTACATTTGTGATTAGCTGACTTTAGACCACTTCCAACGCGGTCGATCCGGATTATCCTAATCCCTAAAATTGTGTGACCTGTTTTGCGGGATATCGAAAATCGGATTTTCGAAAAACATGAATTTGATCGGAGCAAGAAAAATTCGAGAAAGTTGGGAAACTTTTAAACTGAATTTAGATTTGAAATCACACTTCAAAAGAAAGTCTAATGACGATTTCTGTTCCTTCATTGTTCTTGTTTGGTGAATTGAATTATTAAAATTTTAAGTTTGTAACAGATCGGTCTAATTTTAAGCTTGAATTTCAACTTAGACTTTTTCCTGAATACAAATCGTCGTAATTTAGTCGCGATTTTGAAGGAGGCCGAGATTTAGGGCCAGGCCTTGAAAATTACTTCAAATCTTTCGTTCCAAATCTAAACTGAAACTGTATTTCTATAATTTCGCCAATAGGCATATGTTGTTTTTGCTTTTGAATTATTTATACACATGCACATATTGCACATACGCCTCGATATGATGCTTTTTCGATTGACAAAAAAGCGAATCAAAATCATACCGTATGCATCGATTGGGCTGGCCATTTTTGGTCGAACAGTTATGGAACGTCCGGAATCGCGCACTCGATTTTTTGCTAGTTTCAGAATCAGAATCAAGCATACCAGTAGGACAGATGAAATTAAAGTAATGGCAACAAGCGCAACAATAATCCACGCATAGATCCTCATCCAGCACCAGTGCGACGGGGGTAACTGGTTGAACAAACAGGCAAATAAGTAGGCAGACGAATTAGTACGTAAAAACAAGTAATTAAGCGGTGAGCACAAACTGCGACAGCGTTTTAGTACTTCCGCTAGCAAGCACGTGAACGCATGTCTTGGCGCTTTCTCAGCTGCTCAAGTACCAGTAACTCGTCGGGGAATAGCTGCGAAGCGCTGCACTTTTCCCTCGAAATTACGACCGACTTCACTTTTTCCTGCAAAATAAGTGTTTGCAGAATTGAGGAGAACACTTAACGCAGTTCACAAGCACAATAATAACGCAGACGTTAGAAAAAAAAGTAACCGACAAAAAATAACTGGTAAAATATCAAAAAGCTAATAAATGATTCCCGCAAAAAAATTACCGACAAAAAACCATTGATAAAATATCACAAGTAAAAGGTTAATAAATGATTTCCTAAGAAAACGGAGAATTTTCATGCTTCTTGAAATGCAAAGTATATTCTCTTGTCCGCTCGCTTTCTATGCTGATGATGACCGTTGCCCATCCTTCCTCATATTCGCCTTCCCACGCTTCCCTCCGCCATTTTCCTAGCGTGCCCAGAACCGGGCATGATGTTGTTTCTGGGCAAATCAAGAACCAAAATCAAAACAGTGAATTCCTACATTGCAGAATTTTCGCAAAAAAAAACTCGCAGAAGAGAATTTCGCTTGACGTTATTAGTCACTGTGGAAAAATAGCTTGTACTGTCCTCCTCTGCCATCCATTCCTCTCGTACCCTCCGCCTCCTTTTCCTTATTCCATGATCATCGGTCCCACTCTTTTGAAACATACCTTTACCGCATCGTCGCAATAATGACGTATGCAAAAACATTGGTGCAGACAACAAAAGCCTAAATTTTGAACCGAAAAAATGATTATGAAATTGTTTTTTTTTTTTTAAATACAATGTTTTCGAGAATTTTGGCTACTTTTGCTGCGGATCTTTTCTCTCAGTTATTCGGACAATGGTCCAGTGAAAAGTCTGTCTTCCAAGGATTACTAGGGTATCAGAAACAATCACAACTACCCGTCCAACGCTACGGAAACAATAGCAATGCTGAGATGCGCAGAATCAGACTAACCCGGCCTGTCCTAATTTGCTTGCATTATTCGTCTTCTGTAAATTTCCCACGGTTGTAACCTGCCTTAAGGGCACTAACCACTTGGAATGTCAACAAATATATGGTCGACGAAGCAAGGTGGTCAGTGAACGCGTTACTTCATCTTATTTAAAATTTTTCAGCATATTCATGAAAAGCTTGCCAGGCTCCCTCCAGAGATCCTACCAACTTTTTCGTCTGTGGTACAATCATTGCAACCAAGTAAGAAAGTAATATCCAGAAGGTTTGAGGTGTTGCCCGCCGTGGCGACAGCCGCTCAGTCGGCTCACGAAAATCTCGTTCACATATATCGAAAAGGCAGTGTTACTAACTGGAGATATGCAGCTCATGGTTTTACTGATATTTAAATTTTTTATGAGGAAAACACTTTAAAGCTAGGCTGGAACGCACCAGGTTTGCCATGCGTTTTTGCACTAAACTTACAGGCCGTTAGTAGCAGGAATGATTCCTGTGCTGCAGCCTAACACTTGGACTCATATTGGCCATGCTTTGGCCTCTTTCGGAGTACAGGAGAAAGGGCGTCAGTTAGAATGAAGGTGTTGCATTGTAGGACCGAATAAACCTCCAGGTACATGTTTATCAGCTTTTTGCATGAAGCTCAGTCGGTTTTTCGGTAAATGCTCGCTTTTTGAAAAAAATCATAGAAATTGGATAGGGATTATGAAATCTGTAAAATGCACTCGTTTCTGAGTTTGCGGTAAAGATGAGTATTTCTCATAACAACCTGCAAGGAATTTCACTTCCAAGCAGAATTAAGACCACACACATGAAAGCAGAGGATTCCTGCGAAGTTTTAGCCACGCAACTTATCTAGTAAACGAAATATCCGCTTTGTTACAAATATTTTTGGAGTGCCTTAAGTCGTGCAGCAAGTGCATATAGAAACCAAATTTAGGTATAAGATTTTCCATAGACAACAGATATTCTGACAAAATTTCAGCCACTGTTTTCCGGCAAGTTTTCGAGCTAGCATAGTACAAAGTCGCAAACTTTGACCTAATCGTACGTACTTCACAAGCGTATTCGACAGCTGAATTTGAAATCTTTAACTCGCACATGCACAGAGAATATCCCTGCAAAGTTGCGGCTTTGTAACTTGCCTGGTTCGCCATATCATTTCCCGCTAAAGAAATTTGCATATTTTTTCGGGGATCCGTACGCGAGGTCTAAGAGCGTATGAGCGGCAATGTTAAAAGGGAAGGGCAATACATGGGGTAGGAATATGTTCGCAAAATTTCAGCCTCCCAGTTTTCCTGGTTGCTGAGTTGAAAGTGAGTGACAAAATTCACTCGCTTCCGAGCACATACACAAAGACGACTTCTCGGCAATGTACGTTTTTGCTCACTGTAGGAGCGCTCTAGTGCTGCATAGCAGAGGTGCATAAAAAAAAGAAGAAAAAATTACGATCGCACTCAACTGAATTCTTAGCACAAAAATGCACCGAAAATTACTGAAGAGCAGATACAGGAAAGCAAGTGAGTACTTTTATGTTGAACTAATGAAATGTTGTATAGTAAGAATTGTCTCTCAAATAAGTACCATTCTTACCTCCTAAAACGGCTGCTAAAAGGCTCAGAATTTACCTCTTGAAATGGTCAACGAGGCAAATTGGTTTAACGAGCACGTGACTTGGAAATAAATTCCAAGCGTTGCGCTGGGTTTGGAAACAGCTATCAACAGTCAAACAGGTTGTGGCATATTAAATTAAAACACGAATGTGGCACTTTTTATAAAAATAGTCTCTCGTGGAAGTTTTTTAAAGCATTTTTGAAGGCTACACTGCGTCTTGGGAAATGTTATTTCCGTTTCACAAATGCGCTGCACTTTTATCAGTTAAAGCTACAAATGCTAAATTTTCAAAGGTATCTCAGCTAGTACAAAATGAAAGTCAGAGCCGCCGGTAGCTGGCTGACCGCTAGGCAATGCAGCACTGGTCAGAACAGCTGACAAAGCTGCTAGCTTCATAGCTATGAACTACAGCTAATCAAAGTATCAAAATGAAGTATTTTGGAATTCGATAAGTTCGCTCAAGCATCGCTCCCATATTGGCATCAAAAAACACACTTATGAAATAATTATTAATCGAGCAGAATGAGAACGGAAGCGTAAATCCCTCCCGGCGACTAAATTCGTCATTGCAAAATTTCCCCGGTAAAAAAAAAAACAAAGAATGACAAAAATTGTTTCTTAATATTGCAAGATTTGTGACGAATCAATTCTCAAATTACCTCATATTAAATCGCATGAAATCTGACCCGAATAACCCTCTGAGCCAATCATACTTGCAAATTACTGAGGCACTGGTGACAAGCCAAATGATGCCCCCTTCATCCTTTTCCTTGACAAAGCCAAAAAATTGTTCCAAGATGAAAAATACTACTAAATTAGCAGAATGCAAAATGTATCTACTAATTTGTATTTGTAAGATAAAACCGAACAGATTCCATACCAAAACTGCTCGGAATTGTTGTGGGTATTCCTTGTCAGTGATGTTACTGAGATACTTCTGTTTACAGTTATAACAGCCCTTCGATCCTGGGTTGCATAGCTTCATTTGTTACCCACCGCCCCTTTGATT